ACACTTGAGGAAATTTGAATATGGACTGGGGGCTAAATAATGGCATCATATTAATTTTTATATCTTGATATTGATAACTGTACTACGATGTTGTGAATGTCCTTGTTCTTGGGAAAGATACAGCCAATAATTGGGGGCAAAGGGGCCTAATGTCTCCAGTGTACTTCCAAAGAAAACAAATATTTTCTTTCTTTTGTTTAAGTTTGTTTAAAGAGAGACAGCACGAGTGGAGGAGGGGCAGAGAGAGTGAATCCCAAGCACAGAGCCTGACTTGGGGCTCGAACCCACAAACGGTGAGATGATGACCTGAGCCGAAACTAAGAGTTGAGCCCTCAACCAGTTGAACCACCCAAACACCCATCAAAAGCAACTATTTTCTATCCATGTTGTATTTGGAGAGAAAGCACAAAGCAAATGGGGCAGATGTAAACAATCAGTGGGCCTTTGCGGAGGCTTGACGTGATATAAAAATTAAAAGTGCCAGAAACAGAACAAAACAAAAATGCAGAACGGAGAAGAAAGCCCTCCAAAGGCTTCTGATCTAACTGAGGACGGGGGAATCCTGGCCGAGTCAAGGCAATGGCCTAGAAGGTCCTAGCTGATCAGGTCCCCCCTCCCCCCGCTTCTCTCTGATCTCAGCTCCTGCGCTACCTTCACTGGCCCCTGGGCTGCCCTCTGCTCCTGGGACAAGCCCGGCTCTCCTGCCTGCTGGCCTCTGCCTGGCGCGTCTGCCTTTCCAGAGGCGTCCCAGTAGCTTTTACGCTCGCCTCCTAAATTTCACCTTCTCAATGAGTCTTTCTCTGAAAGTACAATTTCCACTCTCCACCCGCTTGCTTCACTTTTCTCCACTGCACTTACCGCCATCTGACAAATCGGTTTTATACACTGTTCACTGGCCCGCTTCCCCTGCAAGAACATTTGGTCCCATAAGGTAACAAAGGGATGACCCTGTCTTGTTTGGGACTATTTGGGGTCTTCTATCCTGATTCTTCCCTTGGCCCAGGGGCTTGATCCTCCTACTTCCCAACCCCCACCCCTCCAGGACCCACCCCTCCAGGAACTCCCCTACCCAGGACCCAGGGGGTCCCAGGAAGCCAGCTTCCCCTTTGAAGAACAAAGAGGGAGGAGCTGAGTCTTGGAGCCCAGGCCTGGGGGGGGGGGGGTAGGGGAGGGACATCTCAGCGGGGGAGGGGAAGCCAGGACACTCCACCAGCTGTGCCATCTCAGTTCCCTGCCCCACCCCCCACCTCCCTAGGGGCCCAGCGCGTGTGGCACACGAGCTCCCCTCCCCCAAGCCCAGATGAGGCCCAATGTTGAGACGGAGGCCAGGAAGAGGCTGGAGGCCCAGACACCCAGACACACCATGTACAGGGATGCCACCCAGGCGCTCGCTCACACAGACTCCATCCCTGCCCCACACCATCAGACACTCTGGGCGTCCGCCTGGACAGGAGCAGTGGCCGGAGAAAATCCTGGAGTCATGCCAACCGGCTCCGGTCTGGGGAGCCTGAAGACTCCCAAATTCTGGAGAGAGGCTTTTAAAGAAAAGAATACAAGGGCGCCTGGGTGGCTCAGTCAGTTAAGCGTCCAACTTCCGCTCAGGTTATGATCTCACAGTTTGTGGGTTCGAGCCCCGCGTCGGGCTCTGTGCTGACAGCTCGGAGCCTGGAGCTGCTTCCGATTCTGTGTCTCCCTCGCTCTCTGTCCCCTCCCCTGCTCACGCTGTCTCTGTCTCCGTAATAAGTAAACATTAAGGAAATTTTTAAAAATCTTAACTTCTGCAAATGTCACAGGAGCATATGGCCGGGTGGCTGTATCCCTAGGGCCCTCCCCGGAGCCTGTGGAAGTTCGAGGGGTCCTGAAGCAAACGCTTAATTAGCTTCATGGTGAAACTGGCCTGTGAACTTGAAGCTTTTGATCCCACATCTCAAATGGACACTCAGCCTGCTAAGAAATCCTACTCTGCTGGCCTGCAAGGTTTTGCCTGCTCTCCAAAACGAACGTTTCGCACCCCCTTTCTCAAATCGCCACGCTCTCTCCCTTCCAGCAGGGAGCCTGACTCATGTTTCTTTGAGGAAAGGAGAGAAATGAGGGGAACCCGCGTCATCCTCCCTGCACCCCAACTGACGCAGGCGCTCATTGTTCCCCCATCTCCTTATGGTGAGGAGTCTCCCCTACCACCTGAGGCCGGATTTTTCTACCTGCTGCTGGAGTCTACTGGCCCCCTCCCCCGCCCTCCTCCCTCCCCCCCACCTCCAGGCAGCCTCCAGGATCCCCTGCGCCACGCCCCGTTCCGCCCACCATTCACAGCAGCACGGGATGGAGAGGTCGACAGCCGAGGTCTGCCTGCTTGATTCAGTCCCATCTTTCCATCAATCCATCCGCGTGGGACGTGTACAGCCACCCCCTTCACTCCAGGTCACCTGTGACATCCAAGATGCTAAACTGATGCTTACTTCCCTCTCTTCTCCTTATCTGACCTCCCAGCGGCTTAGCTAGGACGGGGTGGGGCTCCCTTCTTCATAGCCCACACTTCCTGGTGTCCCAAATTCTCTGCCCCAGGGACACTGGCCGTCTTTTGGCAGCTACCAGCCCCCTCGGGACTCTAGGTTTCTTTGCCGATTCTTCCTCCTCAGCCTAGCCTCCGATTGTTGGGTCCCCAGGGCTCCTTGCTCAGCCCTTCTCTCTCCACGCTCTCTCACCGGGTGAGAGCAACCAAACCATCTCTCTCCCAGCGACTCCCCCATAGTTACCTTCCATCTCTGACCCCCAACTTTATATATCCCTGGCCCGCCTGTGATTTCCGCTCAGATGTCTAAGGGGATCTCAACTAACCAGACTTTCCCCACAGCCCCCTGGCCCCGCTGTTTCTCATCTCCAGAAAAGGCACCGCCATCCATCCCGTGACCGAGGCCCAAACCTGAGAAGTGGCCCACTCACTTGCCACCACCTCCTACAGGCTGCCACCACGTCTGGCCTAGGAGGTCGCTCCCGCAACCCAAAGGTCCTCCCTGCTCCGCATTTCAGAGAGCAGCCAAAGCAGTCATTTTAAAGAAGAAGTCAGCGGCCATGGCTTTCCTGATTAAAAGCCTCCCCTCGCATTTAGGATTAAAAGCCAAAGTCATTTCCGAGCTTGCAAAGCCCTGTGTGGTGGGCCATGCCTGCCTCTCCGGTTTTTTCTTTTAAATGTTTGTTTTTGAGAGAGAGCGAGCGCATGAGCAGGAAGAGGGGCAAAGAGAGGAGACACAGAATCCATAGCAGGCTCTAGGCTCAGAGCTGTCAGCACAGAACCCCAGCAAGGCTTGAACTCAGGACCGGCAAGATAATGATCTGAGCCATAGTAAGGCTCTCACCTGACTGAGCCACCCAGGTGCCCCCTCCCCTGCCTCTCCATTTTTACCTCGGAAGCACTCCAAATTCTCTGGCCCGGAACCCTGACCCTCTTTCTCTGGGGCCCACCTGCAAATTCCATTCCTGCCTCAGAGCCTTTGCACTTGCTGTTTCATTTCACCTGTTTCCTGGTTGGCCTTAAATACCACCTCTTCCTCCCAGCGGTTTCTGACCCCCCCAGAGGAAAGCAACACTTCTCTCTCCAGATATTGCCATGTCCGGTTGTCCGTCCCCCCCCCCCCCGCCGTCGACCTCCTAACCATCCGATATTTTATTTTCTGCTTTCTTAGTTATTTTCTGTGCTCCCCTCCCCACAAGATGTAGCTTCAGGAGAGCCCTAACCATACTTGGCAAACACACGACGCACGCCATAAACATCGACCGAGCGAGTAGCAGGGAGGCTGGCGCACCATGTACAGACGCCCAGATTTGTTGTACGTTTCCTTCTGGGAGCCACTGTCGCGCCTGTGAGCAGGGAAGAGAGCATCCCCGGTCCCCGACACAGTCCAGACACAGGACACGCGCAGCTGAAACCGGCTGAGAGAGACAGGAGCCAGAAACCGGAGGCGGAGACACAGGCCCAGGGCGAGCTCCAGGGTGACACCCAGACTCGGCGAACCAGAGACCCGGGCCCGCAGGAGCCCGGCGGGCGGCAGCGCGGCGCGCCGGGGGCCCGGGGTCACCATCCCCGCCCCCGCCCCTCCCTCCTCCTCTCTGCTCACAAGTGGCCGCGGCAGCTGGCGGGGGACACCCGGCCGCCTGCCGGCCCGACGCGTGCGGGATCAAAGCAGCCGGGAAGGGGCGGGCCGGGAGGTGGCGGCGGGGCCCGAGGTGTGAGCGCGCTTCCCAGGGGCTGGCCGGAGCGTGGGAGCACAGAGTGCCGGGGGCGACAGAGACCAGGAGAGACCAGAGACACAGAGAGCGGGGCGCGCTGGGGCCGCGCCGCGGGCCGGAGACGCACAGACAGCTGGAGACCGGCAGGGGGCGCACGGACGGAGCCGAGACGCCCAAGAACGCGAGAGACCCCGAGATCGAGACGGGGGGCCGGCGGGAGCGCAGAAAACCGCGGTAACACGAAGGCCGGCGCCCACGCACTTAGAAAAAGAAAGCGCGGTGCGGGGAGAACAGAAAATCGAGCGAGCGAGCGAGCAGGAGAAATGGCCGGCAGAGCCCGGGACGTAGGGCGCATAGGGCGGGAAGGCCTCGCCCCTCCTCCGCGGAGGGTGGGAGGACCCCCGGGGCAGGGATCCGAGCGGCGCGTCCTTTCTCAGGGTCACGCCTGCGGAGGTGCGGGGCGGGGGGCGGAGGGAGGGGTGTGGAAAGCCGCAGGACCCGCGGGCGGGGAGGACGGCGGTGGGAGGACTTTCGGAATCCGGATCTCCATCCAGAGCCTCAAGCACTTTAGGGTAAAAAAGTTGAGATTTTAATATTGCTAGGAGTGTGAAATAGAGATGTTTCTCAGGCAGATTTCTCCCCTATTTGGGGGCAGGGAGAGAGGGAAAAAAGGAAGATCAGACAGTGCATTGGCCGGGAATCGAACCCGGGCCTCCCGCGTGGCAGGCGAGAATTCTACCACTGAACCACCAATGCAGACGACTGGTGAAGTTTCGCGGCCCCACATTTAAGAGGTTGAGGCCGTCGTGGTCGGGAAGGCGGTGTGGACCAGCGGCTCAGCGAAGGAGCAGCGGGAATAGCTGACGTGGGTGGAGCGCCAGGCCATCCTTCCTCCCGCCCGGATCCGGCCGCCGGGCCATAAAGTCGCCCCATATGGCCAGGGGCGGCCCCACACCCGGGTGCGAACAACCCGGGGCCCCCGAGCCTCGCGTGCAGGTGAGAAAAACTCAGCCCGAGCGCAGGTTCCCAAGGAGGGGGGCGACGGGGGCTGCCGGGAGCCACACATCTGCGCTCCCATTTGGCCCAGGTAGGGGGAGGTGGGATGTGCCGGCGGCCCCGGTCCCAAATGGGAGCGCCCTCCCCAAGGTCTGTGTCTCTCCGGGTTCGGGGTTCGGGAAGGCAAGCTGCGCGGCGGGGTGGGGGGCGGGTGGGAACATAACACAATGTGCGGAAAGGCCCCGAGACCGCTCGGAAGGCCTCAGCCGCCTCTGACTTCTCTTCCAACCGGTCTGCGATCCCGTCTTTCCGTGTCCTTGTCCCGGGCGGTCTGGTTGTCCCGTTCAAACTCTTGATTTTTTTTTTTTCTTCCCAGACACTTTATCCTGAAGCCTCCGAGCGTTCCCGCATCATTCTGCAGAGGGTCATGTTCTTGATTTGAGGTGGGTGTTGATCCCTTTTTGTATCGCTTTCTTGTCTCTTTTAAAAAAACTGCCGGCTGTCTGCTACCCTATCCCCCGGGGTCCCCGGGAGCAAGCATTGCAGAAACTCTCCTTGTGTCCCGAGTCCTTCGCAGACCTGGGCCTGAATCTCCCGTGATTAAGTTTGGAGTCAAATACTTCTAAGCGGATTGGGGTCTCCACCTCCGACTCAAAGCCTTGCTTCCTCTTCCTCAAGGGTCCCCCTCCTCCCCAGTGCTGCCTTCCGTCTGTGTGACCCTTTCCCCAGCGCCTACTTGGCTCCGCCCTTATAATAGCTGCTTGGTAACACATTTTGTTCCACTGGATCCTTTGGGTCTCTAGTACGTATCTCAGTATGGATCCCCCAAGCCTTGAGCGGTGCGCGCAATGTGGGGGGAATCGAGTAAGAGTCGCTTAGATCGAACAGCGCGTCTCTTTCACCTGCAGGCAGAGCCCCAGTTGAATTTGGACAGATCCCCCCCAGCGGGAGGCGAATTTGGGGGTGAAGGTGGATAAGATGCAGTCTGGGGGTTGAGGGACGCGAACTTTTATTTCAGGGTCGGTGGGGGAACAGCGAGCTCCCAAGGAAGCCTCGACTGGCGGTGGAGGAGGGGAACTCTGAACTTCACTCCTGAGTTCTGTCCCCACATCGCGTCGACTCCCTCGCTCCTTAATGACCTGGCCCTTCAGCCGGGTCCCGCCTCATTATACAGCCTTATGGTGCTGCAACCAGCCGAGGCCGCCTGGGCCGCTCGTTTCCCACACTCCTAGATCGGTTTCGCTCTGTCCCCTCCCCCCTTGCGCTCCTCCCCTTTCCGGGAGCCTAGTGCTCCGGGTCTTGCGGAGCGGGATCCGGGTGCTGAAGGGGGCGGGTCCGACTCCAACCCCCACCCCCCCAACTCAGGAGCCTGCGAGATATAAGGTGCAAGGCGGGCTCGGCCTCGGTCCACACCAGGGTCCGGAGGAGCGATGGTCACTCGGGATCGAGCCGAGAATAGGGACGGCCCCAAGGTGAGAGGTGGGAGTGGAGGGAGCAGAGATCCCTGGTCCGGCTGGGGGCCGCGTCCCTGAGACCCGGGGTGAGGGAGGAGGCTGGAGACGCAGGGTTGGAAGGGGGAGAGGTGCGCGGGGGGCCCAAGGCACCAGGAGAGGGGAAGGACGCAACAAAGTATGAAGATGGGAAGGGGGTCAGACCTGGAGCAGCGTGGGCGGCAGAAGTACTGAGCTTCGGTTTGGGTAATGGGATTTGGCACCTTGCAAGGCGTGGGAGGGGGCCGGAATCCCAGTGGAATCAACAAGGGGAGCTCAAACTAAGAAGTGGGTGGAAACAGTGGAGAGGATAGGTACTTGCTCCGCGCGCGCTCTGAGCCAGAGCTGACCCAGTGCAGCCTTCCAGAAAAGGCCGGGATGGTATTGGGTCCAGAGACCTGAGCTCGGGAGGAAGATTTTAGAACCAGTGGAGAAAGGTGACTGCATAGACGGGTTAGCAGAAGAGGAGGCGCGGTCGCCCTGGGTATCTCCCTTTTTACATTCAGGGCCGCCAACTCAAAGGCCGGCACCTTGCGGTCACGTGTCTGGGCGCAAAGAGGGCCCCCCCACCCCAAAGTTCTCCACTGAGACAGAGTCTGCACGAGATGGAGACGTAGAAAAGAGGTGGAGGAAAGACACAGAGAGGGGAGGAGGGAGGACAAGACTGAGAGAGGAGAATGAAGACCCGGGAGAGAGGAGGCGAGCTACAGAAAGTGACCCTGGGGGCTTTGGGGGGCGGGGATCGGAGAGGGTCCAGTGGGCCTGGCTCTAGGCTCTCGTTGGGGGGGGGGCGGATCGGAGAGGGGTCCAGTGGGGCTCTCGTTGGGGTCTTGGGGAAGGGGTGGGGGCGGGACCGTCCCAGCGGCGGGACCCGGACGCCCGCGCGGCCGCGCTGAGTCTCGGTCCGGTCGGCCCGCTCTCCCTTTCTGCCGCGCAGATGCTGAAGCCGCTTGTGGAGAAGCGGCGCCGGGACCGCATCAACCGCAGCCTGGAAGAGCTGAGGCTGCTGCTGCTGGAGCAGACCCGGGACCAGGTCAGTCAGTCCGCCACCCCCAGACCCCCCAGGCCTCCGCTCTTCGCGTCCCAGGGCTTCCTACTGGGGTGGGGACACGTGCTGCGCTGGCGACCCTGGCCCCAAGGCATCCCGACCCGAGCCCCAACCTTGGAGTCCCATCCCAGATCCCCTTTCTCGCTCTCAGAACGCGCTCTTCACGGCCACCCCTCGGGTCTGTAAGTTTAACACCCGGCTCTGTAAATTTCACTCCCAGGGTGGGTCCGTTTTCCACCTCGGGGGTCTGTAAATTCTCCCTCCTCCTCCCCCACACCCGCTCGAAATAGCCCGCGGGGTGGTTAATTTCAGGCCCTGGGATTCGTTGTTTGCATCCACTCCTCCAGCGCGGGGTGGGTTTCACCTCCTCGGGTCGGACGCCTTAGGCTCCAGGTTGCCCACGGCCATTTCTCGTCGTCTCCACTCCGCATGCAGTCGCGCGCTCCGTGAGCAGCGCGCACACGCGATCGGGGGGCACCCCCAGCTCCCGCTTCCCCCCCTCCCTTTTCCCCCTGCCACTTCCCCCTCTCTCCCCACCCCTTTCTGTCTTTGCGCCCTCCCCCTCCCGTCTGTAGAACCTCCGCAACCCGAAGCTGGAGAAAGCAGAGATACTGGAATTCGCCGTGGGCTACTTGAGGGAGCGAAGCCGGGTGGAGCCCCCGGGTACAGCGCGGGGGGGGTGGGGCAGCGGAGGGCGGGCGGGGGGGGCTCTCGGGGGCCCCGGGCCGGGGTCGCTGGGGCGGACCCTGCGATGGACGGTGGGCTTGGGGAGTGGTAGGCTCTGCTCCGAGGCGAGGTTAATAACACCCGCGCGTGTCTGTCTCTGTGTCTCTCTCATTTTCTCTCTGTCCGTCTTTCTGGCTCCCTGTCTCTGTGCGGCTGTCGGGCTTCGGTATCTCTGCGCCCCGCCCCTCCCCTCACCCGGGCCGGGTCCCTGCCCTGCCCGCCCGTCCTCCCGTCGGCCGCACCCGCCGCCGCGGCTGCAGGGGTTCCCCGGTCCCCAGCCCAGGACGCCGAGGCGCTCGCCAGCTGCTATCTGTCCGGCTTCCGCGAGTGCCTGCTCCGCCTGGCGGCCTTCGCGCACGACGCCAGCCCGGCCGCCCGCGCCCAGCTCTTCTCCGCGCTGCACGTCTATCTGCGCCCCAAGCCGCCCCGGCCGGAGCCGGTAGATGCGAGGCCCCACGCGCCGGGCCCACTGCTGGACCCCGCCGCCCCGGCGCCCGGCCCCGCGCTGCACCAGCGCCCCCCAGTGCACCAGCGCCCCCTTAGCCCGCGCTGCGCCTGGTCCCCGTCCCCCTGCTCCCCGCGCGCGCCGGCTCCCCTCACCGGACTGCTGCCGCCGCCGCCGCCGCACAGACAAGACGGGGAGCCCAAGGCCCCGCCGCCCCCGCCGCCCGCCTTCTGGAGACCTTGGCCCTGAGCTTTGGGGGGGGGGCGGGGGTGGGGGCTGGGGGGGAGGTAGAGACTCCAGCCCGAGGGCAGCGGAGGGACCCGGGCGTCGGGGCGAGCGGGTGTTGGGGAGGGCGGCGGGGCGCGCGGGCGCAGCGCGCGGGTGAGATGTGGTCTATATTAGAGTATCTATATAAATATATATTTCCCTGGTTTCTGTCCCTTTTCCCTGCCCCCCTTGCGACTAGGATTGTACTCTCTCTGCCCCCGGCCCAGACCCAGCCCCTACCCCAGTCCCTAGTGCATGGAATAAAGTGGTTTTAAATCCCCGTGTGTCCCCGAGCCAGGGGCCTGCCTTTCTCTCGGCGTCCACGCCCACTTTCCTTCTGTCTCCCTTTCCTTCTGTCTCCCGCCCCCCCTCTCCCCCCAGTCTTGCTCTTCATGGCCTAAGCCCCGGGGCAGACAGGTAAGTAAAGAAGAGAGCAGAGCGGAGACTGAGGTTGGAGCTTGAAACCAGGCGGAAAACACTGAAAATTGGGTAGGGGCAGAAGGGATGGGGGCCTCCAGGAAAAAGCCGGATAGAGGGGCGGGGCGGGGGGGGGGGGGGGGGGGCGCGAGTTGAAATAAAATCGACTCTGGTGGGATTCGAACCCACAACCTTTGAATCGCTTTTTCGTCACTAGAAGTCCAATGCGCTATCCATTGCGCCACAGAGCCACCTGGCGGGCGGCGACGTCTAACGGCTTACGGGTACTAGCGCGGGAAGGGGGCGGGGAGGGAGAGGGGTGTGAGGGCATCGGGCGGGGCATGCCAGGAGCGCGTGGGTGCCACCCCGCAGGCCTGCCTGGGACAGGTAGCGGCCAGGTGCGAGAGCGGACGCGCGCGGGTGGGAGAACGCGAGCGAGCGAGCACCGAGCTGCGGCTGCCCGCTTGGGGGCTGCCCCCAGCCCAGGCGCACCCCACTCCCAGATGCGGCCCCTCCCGGGAAAATAAACTTGTGTCGTTGTGAACAGCGGTGTGTCTCTCTTTCCTCTGGTCGGTCCGTTTCCCGGTCCGCGATCCCCGAGGAGGGGGGGCCGGTTGGGCGACCGCTCCGAGCCCCGCTCTCCCCTCCAGTCTCTTAGGAGGACCACGGGGAGGAGTAGCTTCCACGCAGGTAGCGTGGCCGAGCGGTCTAAGGCGCTGGATTTAGGCTCCAGTCTCTTCGGAGGCGTGGGTTCGAATCCCACCGCTGCCAAGGTGGAGTTTTTCTGGTGGCCTGTGTACCGTCATATATAACTCTTAACACCCCCCCTCCCCCGTGGGATCTGCCCCTCGTTTTTATGAGGACTCCTTGCAGCCAAGTCATCACCGCCTTCCACTCGCTGGTGTTCGGGCAGCCTCGGTGCTGTCGGCCGAGACCCGATGGGGCCTGCGGAAGCGACCTGCGATTCTTCGTAGCTGGTCTGCGCCTTGACTGCCCTTAAATACATTATTTCTCAAAACGAGCCCAACTTGCTCTGCATTTAAGCGACGGTTGTACGTTCTGACGGTGCGCTGGAGGCTCCCGCTACCCGGTCAGTTTTTTAAAAACTTAAAGGACAGCATCCTCGCTGGCTTCTCAGACCCTCCCAGGTGAGGAATGACGCCCGTGCCCCAAGCTCATAAATATAACAGCACTTGGGGGGGGGGGGGGGGAGGGCCGCACAAAACATAAGGTTCCACCGAGATTTGAACTCGGATCGCTGGATTCAGAGTCCAGAGTGCTAACCATTACACCATGGAACCCACTCGTGACGGGCTTCTTTTGCAAGAGTACATAATGCTGATATTCTTGTTCTGCGTGTCTCCCATTCACGGAAGACAAAAACAAATAGCAATACCTGCCGGAGGCGGTGGACACCCGCCCCGGAGCATCCAAACTATGAATCGAGATGTACTGTGAAGGGTCAAATACACACCATGCTTAGAAGACATAGTACGTACTGAAAAGTGCATTATTAAAATTTCATTAATAATTTTAAAATATCGAGTACGCGTTAAAATGATAAGTTTCCACTGAGTTAAATAAAATGTGTTCTTAAAATTAATTTCGCCCGCTTCCTTTTACTTTCTAATGTGGCTTACTGGAAAACTTAAATTCACATAAAACATGTCTGCTTTCCCTCCACGGTCTATCGTTCGTTCTACTTTCTGAGAAGTAAAATCCCGAAGGGGTTACTATCATTTCCTTTTTAAAGTGATGTCACAATATTCTCGTTATCCTTTTTTACCTTTGTCTTGTTTTAAAGGAATACAGACACTAGTCGTAATCAAAAAGAGGTATAGTTTTGTAGAGGGGGGGGGGGGAAAACGAGACGCCCGAACAGGGACTTGAACCCTGGACCCTCAGATTAAAAGTCTGATGCTCTACCGACTGAGCTATCCGGGCTCTTCCCAACTGCTTGCTCTGCTGCCTATAAGAGCTGTGCATCTACGGAAGTCCAGGCTCACAGGAGCGGTGGGTAATTGCACGCATGTGCGCAGCAGCTCCGGCGCCCCCCCGGAGGGAGCGGAAGGGCCCCGCGGCTGCGGCCTGCGCTTTCCCGTCCTTCCCCGGACGCAGCACCGGCCGGGCTCCGGCTGCTGGGGCGGGTGCGCCGCGGAGGCGGGGCCGCTGCAGTACCGGGTCTGGCCGCGCGGGGCCGCTGCCGGCTGCGGGCCTCCCTGGCGGATCGCGCTCCCAGCAAGCCGGGTGACCCAGATGCCGGGCGCTGCCCCGCCGCCCCGACTGCTCCGGGCGGGCCCGGAGCGGAACGGATGCCACACTGGGCCTCCCGACGCCGTGAGCCGGGTGTCCACTTTGGCTCCCTGACCCGCCCCATTCCAAGGGAGGGGCCGAGGTCGCACGTGCGGCGGCCCGGGGACACAGGGGGCCGGGCGTAGGGACAGCGGGGCGCTGGGAAGCTGTGCTCAGCTGACCCCCGTGCGGTGTGCACCCGGGGCGATTCACCTGCGTGGGGTGGCAGTCAGGTGTGATTGATGCCGAGTGTGGCTCACTTGTGCACAGTGATTCACGTGGATGATTCACAAGTGGGCAATGCGGCTGCCCTGGGCCCAGTCCCAGCTGAGAAAGGAGGAGAAGGTCTCAGGCAAGTTGGGGAGTGGGCGGGCCGGGGCCCCGGAATATTAGTCGGCGGGGCAGTGTCCCAATCACACAGGTGTCACCAGCTCCTCGGCTCCCTTTCGTCGTCTGGTCCCTCCCTCCCCAGTGGGACTCTGGCTCTCGATACCCATCTGGGTGAGCCCGGTACTGCCATCCAGAGAGACCGGCTGTGCCAGAGGCCAGCAAACAACTATTAGGGGGAGCGAGCGCCGTGTCCGGGAGCTCCGGAGGAGCAGAGCGAGCCCGAGTCCATCCCACGGGGAGAGACCCGGGCTCTTCCTTCGAGGCCCACCGGCCCCTGCCTCCGGCCCCCGCCCGCGCGGCTCCGCGGCGCCACAGCTCGGCCCAGCCCCGCCCGCCGCTCCCCTCCTTCCAGGCGCCGCTGCGGCCGACGTTGCCGGGGACACCCCTCCTCCCCTCCCCCCATGGCCGTGTACCGCGTGTGTGTGACCACCGGCCCCTACCTGATGGCGGGCACCCTGGACAACATCTCTGTCACACTGGTGGGCGCCTGCGGGGAGAGCCCCAAACAGCGGCTGGACAGCCTGGGCAGAGACTTCGCCGCGGGATCCGTGAGTACAGAGGAGGGGACGGAGGGGCGACCTCTGAGGGTCGCGGCCGGCGGGAGTCCTGGAGGAGGGGACGGGTCGTTCCCCTAGGTCGTTGCTCCGACCCTGAGTGGACTCTGACTCTGCCCTCCTCACCATCCTGTCTTTCCGGGGGGTGATACACCTTCACAGGCTGGGCTGTGAAGAAGGGGTCCCGGGCTTGGGGGGGGGTGTCAGGAGAGTTTCACCTGCTCCCTAGCTCCTCCCATAATTGAAGGTGGGCTTTGGGCAAGTGGCTTGCCCTCTCTGAGTCTAGTTTCCTCTTCTCGGGAGCGTATATCTGCATGCCTCCACCAGGCCGGGGGATCCTTTGCTGGGAGCCCCCATGAGGGTGTGGGAGCCTAGGAGTCTGGTGAAATCCAGAACCTTCTCTGCTCGCACCCCATGTCTGTGGCTGCCTCTGCTTGGATGAAGGGGGTGCCTTTCCCCGATCCCTACAAAGGCACCGTGTGGCTTACTTACATGCCAGGACAGGTGGAGGCGAACACGCATCTTGGAAGGTGGAAAGATGCCCCCCAGAGTTCCGAGCCTCTCACCTGCTTGCTTTTCGGTCCCCTCAGGTGCAGAAGTACAAGGTGCGCTGCCCAGCCGAGCTGGGGGAGCTCTTGCTGCTCCGTCTACACAAGGAACGCTATGCTTTCTTCCCCAAGGACTCTTGGTATTGCAGCTTTATTTGTGTCACTGCTCCAGATGGCACTTGCACCCAGTTCCCCTGCTATCAGTGGATTGAGGGCTACTGCACCCTAGAGCTGCGACCAGGAACAGGTGGGCCAGAGGCAGGGGCTGGCCCTTGTCTGTTGGAATTAGGGGTAGGCATGGGGCGCCTGGGTAGCTCAAACCCCGGTTTGTGAGTTCGAGTCCCATGTCTGGCTCTGTGCTCACAGCTCGGAGCCTGGAGCCTGCTTGGGAGGCCGCGTCTCCCTCTCTCTCTGCCCCTCCCCTGATCTTGGCTTTTCTGGCGGGGACGAAGTCTCTGTGGGGGCTGTTAGGACCCCTTCTTGCCTTTGGGGGGCCTTCCGAGGATGCCGAGCTCGAGCTCCTTGAAGCTCTGGAGCCCCAGGTCTCCTGAGCTGTCCGATCCTGAGAGGCAAGGCCAGGGCTGGTGCAGGTGTTAAACTGAGTGTTAGGGATGAGAGGTGATGTTCTAGGTCAAGATAAAGCGAGCGATCTTTACTCACCCTCAGCCCCTAGTGAGTTCTTCGTAGACTCTAAATGCCCACACATCATCATAGCACATCCATCTGCCCATTGTTTCTCCAAACACATCCGCTTATCAGTCATTGGTCAAGTGCATGTTACGTGCACAGTGTGGGGGCTCCACGCTAGACGCTGGGAATACAAAACACAACTACAAGGTAATTTCTGGCCCCAGACAGTCTTGGGAAAGAGATAAGCATACAATTAGGATGATTGTTATAATTTTGGGGTGAGGTTGTCCTGACTCCCTTCTGCTGATGAGTATGTGAAGAAGACGGGGTATCCATGTTGCCGAGAGGGGCTGGGTTCAAAGGTGAGGGGGTTCAGGCAAGCTTTGCTGGAGGAGGTGTTGGGAAAGAAGCTCATGTGATGAGTGATTTTCATTCCCCGCAGCCAAAACTATTTGTCAGGACTCCCTGCCCCTCCTTCTGGATCACAGGCGGCGGGAGCTCCAGGGCCGGCAAGAGTGCTTCCGGTGAGCGCGCCCTATTCGACTTCTTTCGCCATCTTTACTCTCATCCCTCAGCCTTAATCACACTCTTACTAACTCTGACCTCAGATGCGATCAGGACCCTCATTTGAACCTAACCTCAGTCTGAGGTTGAGTCACAACAGCACCAGCAATTTTCAGTGAATCCACAACTCAGCCCACAGATGCCCTTCATGTCACACGTGAGCCTGGTATTGACCAGTCTCAGCCCAGCCTCAGCCTCCCGCCCCCCGAGCCTTCCCCCCGCCCCCCCCCCCGGCCCCCAAACCAGCCACGATCTTAATCTCAACACAAACCCAGCTCCAAACCAGTCTGGACATTCATGTTGTCCCTAAATGCCTCTCTGACCTGAAGTCAGGTGCCTCCAGGGAGAAAATGCCAATTCTTTGTCACCTACCCAGACAGTGGGTGGTTTCTGGGAGTTTTAATTTAAAGTCGCCACCTTTAAAGGCTGAAGTTCATGTTTATCCTAAGTTTGACGTTTGCAGTCTTTCCCTCGAAGCTGGAAGGTCTATGCCCCCGGCTTTCCTGGCATCATAGATGTCAGCAACTTTGAGGAGATGGAGACAGACAAGAAATTTGCCCTGACCAAGATGGCACCTTGTGCGGCCCAAGCGGACAGGTGATGGGGGAAGCCCAGGCTTGGGAGGAAGGCGGAGGGCATGACCCGAAGGTCGGGACGATGGGGCCCCAGCAGCCAGGAAAGATCACAACTAGGGTTTAATCCAGGAGTCAGGGCAGAAGTGTCAGAGGTGACCCCAAGGGGATCACCTGGCAGGGAGGTGGCTTCAGGCCAGAACGGAGGGGACTGGGCAGGAGTCCAGAGCAAGGCGAGGATGGCAGGAGGGACTTAAGGGGGGGGGGAGTGGGCGCAGGTCCGTCACTGGTGTCTGTCCTTCTCCTTCCCCGCCACCCTCCACAGCAGCGGGAACCAGTACCTGCCTGGCTTCCCCATGAAAATTGACTTCCCGTCGCTGCTGCACATGGACCCCAATATTCGCTACTCGGCCACCAAGACGGTCTCCCTGCTCTTCAACGCCATCCCTGCGTGAGGCCACTGCCCCCCCCCCACACACCCTTGCTCACTCTGGCTGTTGCCTCTGCTCTTCCATGCGTATCTCTGTCCCTGTGTCCGCCCCTCTGTCCCCATGTCCCCTCTCTGTCCCTAACTCCCCCTCTGTCCCCATCTCCCTCTTCTCAGTCCCCATCTCCCTCCTCTCAGTCCCCATCTCCCCACTCTCTGTCCCCATGTCCCCCTCCCTGTCTCTGCCCCTGTCTCCCCTCTGTGTCCCCATGTCCCCCTCTCTGTCCCCGTCTCCCTCCTCTCAGTCCCCATCTCCTCCTCTCAGTCCCACTGTCTCCCTCACTGTCCCTGTCTCCTCATCTCTGTCCCCATGTCCCCTCTCTGTCCCCATGTCCCTTCTCTGTCCCCATCTCCCCCTCTCTGTCCCTGTTTCCCCTTCTCTGCCCTCATGTCCTCTTTGTCCCCGTCTCCCCCTCTCTGTCCCCATCTCCCCTCTCTGTCCCCATCTCCCCTCTCTGTCCCCATTTCCCCCTCTCTGTTTCCCCTTCTCTGCCCTCATGTCCCCCTCTCTGTCCCTGTCTCCCCATCTCTGTTCCCCCCTCTCCCCTCTCCATTCTCTCTCTCCCATCACCTCCTGTTTGCTCCTTTGTCATCCCCACTCTCTCCATCCCTCAAATCTAGGAAATGAATGGAGCGCCTCCTGAGTGGAGAGCTCAGTCCCAGGCCCTGTTGGTGGGACCATGTCAGGCGGGCAGGGGGCCAGGCCCTGAGGTTTTAAGGAAGTGAAGTCAGACCATGTCACATTCAGACCCCAGAACCAACACTTTTGAGCTGCGTAACCCTGATCTTCACTTAGCCTCTTAACAGGTTCCTCCTCATGTGTCGGATGACGGGGAATATGCACACCTGCCTCCTAGGGTGTGTGGGAGGGGGGAGCGAGAGAGACCCAGTACCACAGTCTCAGTGGATGGGACCCAGTAGTGGTGTCAGGCCGCACCCACAGCCGCAAGGGGCTCAGTGTCCCCAGCGGGACATCCGCGCAGCAGAGGGGTCGGATGCTCGTCCGTGGGGCTCCTGTGCTGGCCTGTTTCTCTGGGAGGAGGGCTAGTGGGCGGGAGGGCTGAGCAGGGAGCTGAGAAATGCCTGAGGGCGGCTGCAGGTGGCTGGGCCTCGGGCAATGACCTGGGAGAGGCGTGGCAGGCCGGGGACCAGAGTCACCTGAGCTGGCCCCGGGGCAGATGTGTGGGTTTGAGAGGTGAGGAAAGGCCCGAGATCTAGGACAGCCTGTGTGGGGCTTGGAGAAGGGCCCAGGGGCAGAGGGAGCTGGCGGTTGGCAGCCACGGCGGGGGGGTGGGGGGGTGGGGGGGGAGGAGTCAAGGAGAGTAGGGGCTGTGGCCGGGCTCCAGGGTGCCGCCACCACAGGTTGCTCTGGAGAACAGGTGCACCAGGCCCTTGGACAAGGAAGACCTTTTCTTCCTCCTTCATTGCCTCCTCGCTCTCTGCTTTAGCACCGAGCTCTCACCTGCTTCGGGCCCTCTTCAGGGCAGCCCTCCTGGGTGGGTGCTCAGCGGGTACTCAGGAAGTTGTCCCTGGGGCTGTCGCGTCACAGATGCGCCTTTGCCCACATCCCGCAAGGCACCCCAGCACACTCACACGGCCCGCCTTCTCCACTGCGCGGCAAACCCACCTGCTGAGGGTCGAGTTCTCTGCCCTCAGCCTTGAGCCAAGTCCTGGCTCTTGGGGGCCCATAGGATGATGTATAATAAAGGACAGCAGGTGCACACCGGGTTTACGATGTAATGCAGGGAGTGGTGAACGTTGGGGGAAGATGCACACCCACTGTGTGTTCAGGGTTGTCAGGCCGTCCTTCGTGGTGGACAGGGTGGCATGTGGGACATGGCTTATTCCCAGAGGCACATGTGCCCTGGGCAAGGAGGGGAGCAGCTTTCACGCCAAGCATTTTTTAAGTTTACTTTTAATTTTGAGAGAGAGAGAGATCGAGCAGGGGAAGGGCAGAGAGTGAGGGAGACAGAGGATCCAAAGCAGGCTGTGAGCTGTCAGCACAGAGCCGGATGCGGGGCTCGAACCCACGAACCGCAAGACCATGACCTGAGCCGGAGTCGGCCGCCCATCCGACGGAACACCCAGGCGCCCCGAGCATTTGTTTCCGGATTATAAAATAACACATGCTTGCTGTAAAAGCTTCAAGCAGGGCAGGCACCCACAGAGTGAAAAGTGCACGGCCCCCCAGGCTGCCAGGCCTCTGTTTACCAGTCTGAGGTGCAAACCATACGTCCGGTTATGTTTCGCGAGAAGGCCGTGCTCGGTAGGACCGGCTGGTGACAGGCTGCCGAGCCGGCCCTAGCGGCTGGGGCTTTGTCCGGTAGGCAGTCAGGTGCCAGCGAAGATCTGTAACTAGATGGAAACCTGGAGAAAAGCCAAAACACCAACGAAGGTGTGCTATCTGCAACATATAGCCACGTGTGCCACTGCGTGTCTGCATTTGGAGTCACCCCTGTGAAGCCTCGACTGGCCACTAGACTTCTTTTCTCGCGTGCACACTGTTAGGCACCTCTGCTTTGGGCATTGACCTTGTCGGATCCCTCCAGGCCTCTAGGCTGGGGGCACAGTGTCCCTGGCAGCCCCCGGCCCCACTCTCGCTTCCCTTCCCCCTCAGGTCCTTGGGCATGAAGCTCCGGGGGCTGCTGGACCGCAAGGGCTCCTGGAAGAAGCTGGATGACATCCGGAATATCTTCTGGTGTCACAAGACCTTCACGTCAGGTGCGCAGAGCCAGGCAGATGTCTGTCCCCCGCCGTACCCCGTGCTCAGAACCCTCCGCCCCATTCTGGGAAGGGGCCCTCCTCCAGCCGTCGCAGGGAGACTGTGGGGACCCAGGGCGTGGGGCTCCTGGTTTCATGAGTGGCAAGCGTCACAGACTCCCCTTAGGAGCTCACACCGTCTCCCCTTTCCCTGGGAGGGCACAGGAATAAGGGAGTGAGGACAGAGAGACACTCCGCCTGCCTGAGGGTCAAGGGTCATTCAGGGACTCCTGATCCTGATCAGGGGGGCACTGGCCTCTCTTCCCCCACCCCCACCACCAAGAGTTCTGGTCTTTGGGGCCAGGCTGAGATTCAGGTCTCTGCACCGCCACTCGGCTGGGCCAAGTCACTCCGTCTCTTTGGCTCCCAGCGTCCAGAGTGAGATTGATTAATTTCACTCGCCTCGCAGGGCTGCTGGGAGGGAAGCCGAAACCACAGCCAGCAAAGGGCCAGGCACTGGGACGAGCTAGGGAAGTGGCCTCCAGACCAAGCAGCCCCCTCTCTCGCCCCCTAGAGTATGTCACAGAGCACTGGTGTGAGGACCAGTTCTTCGGGTACCAGTACCTGAATGGTGTCAATCCTGTCATGCTCCATTGCGTCTCCAGCCTGCCCAGCAAGCTGCCTGTAACCAATGACATGGTGGCCCCCTCGCTGGGTCCAGACACCTGCCTGCAGACGGAACTAGAGGTGGGTGACTTGTCATTATGGATACAGGACGGGTGTAGAGGTAAGAGTGAGAGGGCTGGGGCTACATCCAGCCTGCAGGCCCCATCCGCTGGGCAGCCCCAGCTTTGAATCGGAGCAAATGGAGGCAAGGGCCAGAGGGGGCTCAGCCATGCCTGCAAGCCCGACACGGGGCCTGGTGCGGTGGTTTGAGCGAGCAGGACACACAGAGGAGCAGGCCCTGCCTGTGTTCTGGGGCTTCCGAGATCCCCAGTGCTGAGAGGCCCAAAGAAAGCTGTGTTAGGTCAGGTGGAAGGCAGTGCAAGTAGATACAAGAGGAATGACATGGAGAAGTGGGAGCCCTGAGGGGCTGGGAGCAGATGATGGGCCAGTGTCTCAGGCAGCCAAGCCCTCGGGCATACTCTAGGAGGCTAGAAAAGCGGCAGTCAATTCTTTTTTTTTTTTTTTTTTAATTTATTTCTGAGAGAGAGAGAGAGAGAGAGAAAGAAGGGGAGGGTCAGAGAGAGAGGGAGACACAGAATCTGCAACAGGCTTCAGGCTCTGAGCTGTCAGCACAGAGCCCGCTGCGGGGCTCGAACCCATGAACCGTGAGATCATGACCTGAGCCGAAGTCTACGCTTAACCTGAGCCACCCAGATGCCCCTGTGGCAATCGATTCTGTGTGTGTGTATTTTGTTGTTGTTGGATACACGGACAGGGTCACTGAGTGGCAAGAGCAGGAAGGACCAGGTATGGGGGTGCCGGGAGAGGTTGCCAGCTTACACAGGTGGGAGGTTGCATAAGGAGGGACTCAGCTGGACCTCATTCCGGACGTGCTGGGAAGGGTTGGGTATCTAACTCTGGACATCAGTGCAAGCGCCAAGAATTACTGAGGCCCGAATTGGGGTGGGAGTGGGCGGAGAACAGAGGGCAGTGGAGCGCCAAGAATTACTGAGGCCCGAATTGGGGTGGGAGTGGGCGGAGAACAGAGGGCAGTGGAGCGCGGGTCAGGGGCCGCTGGGAGCCTCTCTGCGCCTTCCCCAGAGGGGGAACGTCTTCCTAGCGGACTACTGGATCCTGGAGGAGGCCCCCGTCCACTGCCTCAACGGCCGCCAGCAGTACGTGGCCGCCCCGCTCTGCCTGCTGTGGCTCAACCCGCAGGGGGCGCTGGTGCCCTTGGCTATCCAGGTGAGACCTGGGGCGGCTTCGGGGACGGGCTCAGGAGGCACGCCCGCCGTCTTGAGCCTCACCCCCTTAATTATTCTTGGTCGCAGCTCAGCCAGAAACCCGGGCCCGACAGCCCCATCTTTCTGCCCACTGATTCCTACTGGGATTGGCTGCTGGCCAAGACGTGGGTGCGCAACTCGGAATTCCTGGTGCACGAGCACAACACGCACTTTCTGTGCACGCATTTGCTGTGCGAGGCCTTCTCCATGGCCACACTGCGTCAGCTGCCGCTCTGCCATCCTATCTACAAGGTCGGTGCGACCCCCGGGCGGGGCCAGAGGGGGCGGGCCGGCTCGGCCTGCTCCTCTGACCTTCGGCTCCTGCGCCCTCATCCCGCTCGCAGCTCCTGCTTCCCCACACTCGCTACACGCTGCAGGTGAACACCATCGCTCGGGCCACGCTGCTCAACCCCGACGGCCTTGTGGACCAGGTGAGGCTTCCGCCCGCCCCGTCTCTGAAGCCCCGCCCCGATGGCGCTTTGCCCCGCCCACAGGCCTCTACGGCCTCCAATCCTATTCCACGGTTTCTGCCAGACCCTTCCCACAAGCCCCGCCCGCCCACCCACCCGTACCCTACTTGCCCCGCCCACAAGCCTCTAAGGCGTCCAATCCCATTTCACAGCTCTTGCCAGACCCGTCCCATAGGCCACGCCCACGACCGATTTCCCCGCCCACAAACCCTGTCCCCGCCCCTCCCTCCCACCCACGCGCTCCGCCCCCTCAGGCCTGGACTCCTTAGTCATGGGGGTTTGATCCATGGTATTGGACTCCTTGGTTAACAGAATAAGCCCCTCTGCTGAGTCACTAGCCTCCTCTCGCCCCCCAGGCACGGGGGGGGGGTCTGGGCCGACCCCAAGCCCGGCTACCTTGTGTTCTCAGGTCACGTCCGGCGGGAGGCAGGCCCTCCTCTACCTCATAAGCACAGGTCTGGCCCACTTCACCTACACCGATTTCTGCCTTCCGGACAGCCTGCGGGCCCGCGGCGTCCTGACAATCCCCAACTACCACTACCGAGACGACGGCCTGAAGATCTGGGCGGCCATTCAGAGGTGCGGGGTGCGGGCCTGGGACCCTGCAGCCAGTCCGGCCTCCCCAGAGCCTCCCGGCTCAGCCTCGACTCGTGCAGGCGGGGCCCCTTGGTGCTGGGGGTCGTGGGTGTGTTTCAGGCCCCAGCACGGAGCACCCAAGGGTGAGAGTTGGGGTTGGGGTTGGGGTCCTCAGTGAAATGACAGGTAGCTGCGGGGCTGGGGAGGGGCTAGGCTGTGCATGATCGCAGGGGAGGAAGGAAAGGGCACCGTGTCCAGAGAAACCAGGGCAGGAATCAGGGGCGGGATCCCCAGGCTCTGCTCAGTGCACTGCCCACCCACCCCCACCCCCAGCCCACTGTGTGGGAAGGAGGCTCAGAGTACCCCTGACTCAGGAGAGCCCAAACCTGGGCCCTTGGGTCCCTCCTGGACCTGGGGGTCCCCCCTGGACCCCGGGTGGGCTCTCAGTGGACACTGGCTGTCTGGCTCTCCCCAACCTCAGTGGCATTGGGCCTTGGATTTCTGGTCAGCCTTGAGCGCAAGGTCACCTCCATGGCATTTGCATCTCCTTCCTGCAGCTTTGTCTCAGAAATCGTGGGCTACTATTATCCTAGTGACCTATCTGTGCAACAGGACTCGGAGCTGCAGGCCTGGGTCGGCGAGATTTTTGCTCAGGGCTTCCTGGGCCGGGAGAGCTCAGGTAAGCCCTCTCCATCCCCCGACCGCAAGCTCCCAGTGACTCGGTGCCCTCCCTGGCCTCACCTGTTACTTAGTTCTTACTTACGGACCCACCTTTGAAGTACATCCTATGCTTAGGGGGTTTTTTTCCCCTGAGGCTTTCCCCCCACCTTTTAAACAATGAAATTTATTTTTTTAATGTTTATTTATTTTTGAGAGAGAGAGAAAGAGCATGAGCAGGAGAGAGGCAGAGAGAGAGGGCGACACAGAATCTGAGGCAGGCTCCAGGCTCTGAGCTGTTAGCACAGAGCCCAACGCGGGGCTCGAACTCACGAACTCTGAGATCGTGACCTGAGCCGAAGTTGGCACTAACCGACGGCCCGGGCGCCCCACTTTAAATCACATGACATCTGCCGAGGCTGGATTGAAAACTCAAGACTAGCTGTCCTGCAGAATGTGTCACCTTCCAAATTAATCTAATGGCTTCCTCGTGAGGTCATTCATCTCGCTCCTCGACCTACTGTGTATTCTGTCAATGGGAAGTAACATCTAAAGGTTAAATGTTTGGGGCAAGAATATTTCCCAAGTGATGCTTTGTTCTCACTGCGTCACACGGGGAAGCAAATAGTGTCCGGTTATCTCAGTATCAGTGATGCCCAGAGTGATTTCTGGGTTAAGGTGGTGACAGCCAGGTCTCTTCGGGATATTTAAAGGATGGCCTGTCCCCTGCTTTGCAAGCCCACTGTTACCCTGGGCTGGCCTGGTCCTAAAAGCTTCTCCCCTAAAGGCAGGTTTGTTTTGTTTTGTTTCTGTGGAGCTGTTTCCTGTTTAAGACCCGGGATGGGGGGAATCTACTTACTGTTGGTTGGCTCCCCTATCTTACTTTATTATTATTATTTTTAAAGTTTTTAATGTTTATTTTTGAGAGACAGAGAGACAGAGCTCGAGCCGGGGAGGGGCAGAGAGAGAGGGAAACACAGAATCAGAAGCAGGCTCCAGGCTCTGAGCACAGAGCCCGATGCGGGGCTCGAACTTATGAACCGTGAGATCATGACCTGAGCCAAAGTCAGACACTTAACTGACTGAGCCACCCAGGTGCCCCTATCATTATTATAATTTTTAAATGTTTATTCATTTTGAGAAAGAGGGAGAGCACAGGCTGGGAGAGGGGCAGGGGGACAGAGAGAGAGAGAGAGAGAGAGAGAGAGAGAGAATCCAAAGCAGCCTCCACGTTGTCAGCACAGAGCCCGATGCGAGGCGCAAACTCACAAACTGTGGGATCATAACCTGAGCTGAAATCAAGAGTCAGAGGCCTAACCGACTGAGCCACCCAGGCGCCCCTCTCCTATCTTACACTATGAAACTTGTCTCTGACCTAATACATCAGAACATTCTTCACCTTGACACACGTCTTTTCCAACAGTGCAGCCTTCTCGTAGTTCCTGTTTTAAGGTAAGACACACTCACTAATCAGCTCAGCCAGGATGACTTTTGCTTCCATGTTTCAAGGGGAACAAATAAACTATAGGAGCGACAGAAAAATTCCCACAGCTCGTTTGACCTCCCTCCCTCTTCATCTCAGCCCTCAGGGTTAGACTGTCAGCCACAAAGAGAACCTTTGGAAAATTCCCACACGCCCCCCGTCAGGTGCCTGGTCCTTCCTCCGACCCCCTCTGCCTCGCTCTCTCTTGACTGTGAGCCTTGACGCCATCTTTGACCCACTGTCACCACCCAGTCTCTGCATTATAGCAGCTGCCACTCTACAGGCCTCACCTTCCTCAGCCCCTTGCTGCTTGCCCTGAGGGGCCACCGCCCCGGTAATCCTCTGAAATTCTGCCCAGAAACCGCCTGGCCTGGAACATTCCTTCCCACCCTGCCTTTGTACCATCTTAGGCATTCACTACACTCAACCAATAATTACGGGGCTCTTCATATTAAGTATTGTTCTAGGTGCTGGGGTTTGGCGCTGAACGTGACAGACAAAAATCCTGACCTTCATGGAGCTTAACATCCTTGTGGGGAGACTCTGATGATAAAGAAACACATATGTTTGGTGGTTGGTTATGAGCACCCAGAAAAATGAAAGAGCATATTGAGGAAGGGGAGTGGGTTCAGATAGGTGGTCAGGGAAGCTCTCTCTGGAGGAGGCGATGTTTGACTAGAGACCTGAAGGAAGTGAGGGAGAGAGTTTGGTGGATAACTGGCCTAAGACTCTACAGGCAGAGGTAGAGCAAGTGCAAAGGTCCTGGGGTGGACATGTGCCGGTAGGCTTACGGAATATCAGGAAGGCCTACATGGCTGAGTAGAGAAGGTGAGAGAACAGAAGGGAAGGAAATGAAGTCCAAGAAGAAATGAGAGCCCGATCGAGTAGGGCACTGGTAAGGTGAGGGGGGTGGGGGCCCATAGCGGGTTTTAGCAAGGAGTGACATGATCAGACTTACAATTCTAAAGGGCCAGGCGCTCTGGCTGTCACGTGAAGAACGGCAGTCAGGGGCAAGGTTGGAACCAGGCGGGTTCATGCAGGAGGGATGCGGTGGAGCCCGACGGTGGTGACACCAGATCGGCCCCTGGAAGTACCGGCTGATCTGAGCGATCCGAGAGAAACAGAAAGGAGGGCCCAGATGTTGGCCTGAGCAACCGTACGAAGATGCCAGAATGAGACCGCCGTGGGAGGGCCGGGCTTGGGGCACCGTGGGGGAGGGAGTCAAGCATCAGGTTTTGCAGAGGTTGTCCGGGAGGCCTCGAGGCTGCCCAAGTCAGGCCATCAGGTAGCGGCTGCCGACGTATGGCCATGGCCGTGCCTAGAGTCGGGATCCAGGTGGAGCTGGCGATGTGAACTTGGAAGTCGCCGGCCAGTGGGAAGCAGCTAGAGCCATGGATTTGGACGAGATCAGTGATGTACAGGGAAAGAGGACCTCAGTCTGAGCCACATAATGCCTTCCTCTGTCATCTTTTTTTCCGTTCAAAGCTCACCCACCTGGGGCGCCTGGGTGAGTCAGTTAAGCGTCAGACTTCGGCTCAGGTCATGATCTCACGGTTCACGGGTTCGAGCCCCGCGTCGGGCTCTGTGCTGACAGCTCGGAGCCTGGAGCCTGTTTCAGATTCTGTGTCTCCCTCTCTCTCTCTGACCCTCCCCTGCTCATGCTGTCTCTCTCTCTCTCAGAAATAAGTAAAACATTTAAAAAATTAAAAAAAAAAGCTCACCCACTCTTCAACTCAGGGAGTCCCCTTCTCTTCCCACAGGAAAGTCTCCCCTGAGTGCTTTGACCTCAGTGCCTGTTTCTTTCCTCAAAGAGCCAAACCCTGGCTTTGGAGCCCCCCCTCCCCCCACCCTACCTCTGCTTCTGTCACCGTGAGCTTATGAGTGACACTCTGGTCATCTGTCTCTGTCACTAAGCCCCACGGTGGGTGATCCGCTACTGGGTGCTTGGACAAATCTTGATGAACTGGGGAGAATTCGAACCTTAAGTGCTGTCGGGGGCTGCGGATATCGAGGGCTCCTTGGCAATCAAGGAGCAGAGGCCCCTGGACTGTCAGCTTGGACTTGGCTTCTCCGTCGTGAGCTGTGCTGGCCGGGCGTTTTCTGGTCTGATCCCAGCACCCAGCTCGTATGCAGACCTCCTTCAGAGCCCGCGTGACCATCCCTCACCTCAGTCCAACCCTAATCGTAGTCAGAAGCCAGCGGTGGCCAAATGCTCAGCGCTCGCGTCCTCACTCGCCCCTTGTGGTGGGCCCCCAGCTCCCGAGCCGCCCCGGGGAGGCCCACGCCCTCCCTCGACACCCTGTCCCCTTCCTCCCATGCCCAGGCTTCCCACGCAGGCTGTGCACTCCAGGAGAGCTGGTGAAGTTCCTCACTGCCATCATCTTCAACTGCTCCGCCCAGCATGCCGCGGTCAACAGCGGGCAGGTGAGGCTGCGGGGGGCAGGCCTGGGGGGGGGGCGCTGGGCTACGCGAGGTTGGGCTCAGCGGTGGACGTGAGGTCAGAGTTGGGGTTGGGAGCGTGGGCGTGTCAGGGTTGGGGTGGGTTTACGACTGGGGCTGAGGTTGGTGGCGAGAGGGTGGAGTGAAGGGCTGGTGTTGGATGACGACTAGGGTGGAGCGGGTCCAAGGTTGTGGTGCTGGCTCCCCGGCCGGCGCTGTGTAGGAAGTAGAACTTAGGCCCCGTCGTGGCGGGGACGCGGCCGGGTAGAGTATCAGCTCGCTCTGGGTGGCCTGCAAGCCCAAGGCCCTTTGCTGGGGTCACCTCCTCTCTGGGTTCTGCTCCGTCCTTGGTGATTCACTCCACCCGGTGCTAGAACATCGGGTGGGGAGTGACCAGGGGTGAGCCTCCTACCCCACTTCTGGAACTTTCTACCCTATACTCCTCCCTCTCTTCCCTTTCCACCATATCCTCATTTCCCAACTGCGGGAACTGGGGTGGTAGAGCCAGGGTCAGGGATGATGAAGGAGCCGGTTCCCCGCTCTGGCCAGCTGCCTCATCTGGGGTGGGGTCCCTACAGCATGACTTTGGGGCCTGGATGCCCAATACCCCGTCGTCCATGAGGCAGCCCCCACCCCAGACCAAGGGGACCGCCACCCTGAAGAGTTACCTAGACACCCTTCCAGAAGTGAACGTCACCTGTAACAACCTTCTCCTCTTCTGGTTGGTCAGCCAGGAGCCCAAGGACCAGGTGTGTATAGAAGGTGGGGTGGGGTGGGGTGGGGGTGGGGGCTTACAGGGCCTGGGCAGTGCCAGTGGTTTCCAGGGGGGATTGGGGACCGGGTGCTGCCGTTTATGTCCACTGCTGAGCCGTTTTGGGTCCCTCAGTTTCTCTAGGAAATGATATTTGGTCCCCAAAGACATACAATGAAGCAAATACCAGCTTCGTGGTTAGAGCACAACATCCATTGAATTTGCCAGCTTACCAATCCATCCACCCATCTGTTCAGCTGTCTGACCATTTATCCATCCATGCATCCATCTCTTCATCCATGCATCCATCCACCATCCATCCATTCACCCATCCATCCACCCATCCATTTATTCATCCATCCACCCTTCTGTTCATCCATCCACCCATCTGTCCATCCATCCATCCGTCCATCCATCCACCATCCATCTACCCATCCATTTATTCATCCATCCACCCTTCTGTTCATCCATCCACCCATCTGTCCATCCATCCATCTGTCCATCCATCCACCATCCATCTACCCATCCATTTATTCATCCATCCACCCTTCTGTTCATCCATCCACCCATCTGTCCATCGATCGATCCATCCATCCATCCACCATCCATCCATCTACCCATCCATCTACCCGTCTATTCATCCATCCATCCATCCGTCTATCCACCCATCTGCTTATCCATCCATCCATCATTCATTCATTAACTGCTCATCCATTCATCTGAACACTGAACACACATTATTTTGGATACCTCCCATATCTCAACATGACACTGGGGACCAGGCGTAGGGAGTTGAGTGAGACCTTCCCGCCTTCAAAAATCCTATGGCCTTGTTGAAGAGATACACAGGGAAGCGCAAAAGAGCACAACAGCATCGTAGGAATCATTTATGTACGGACATGTACTTCTTCTAAAGCATTTGCAACATGTCAGATGTTGGTGGGCAGATCCGAACCCTATCCTCATGAGCTTAGTCTCGTGGTAGGGGTGACAATGGGGACTTGTGGAACCTGACCGAGTCTGGGTGAACCCGGGAAGGCTTCTTGGAGGAAGTGACATCGAAGCTGAAACTTGCAGGACAAGTCGGAGCTTGACAGGCAAAGGAAGGGCAGGTTTAGTTGCTAAGCAGGAGGAAGGGCACAACCAAGTGAAAAGACGTGAAGGTCAGTCCGTTGGTGTGTTGGTGCGATTGCACATGGTTCGGTGCGGGCACAGTGTTCATTCAGAGGAGGGTGGGGAAGCCACCGAAGACCATTAAGCCTGAGATGACACAGCTGAATTTGTGTTTCAGCACGAGTGCCTTCCTGGCCGTGTGGATGGCTGGGAGGGGCCGTGTTGGAGGCAGGAGCCTGGCGTGGCCTGGGGAACAGCCCTTTGATCACCAGTTGCCATCATTTCTGTTCACACGCTGGGGCACTGGCCCTGCCTCTGCCTCTTGGTCTTGCTCACGTCTCGGGAATCTCCTCATTTCTTGTGCTTGGCTCCCCTGTGTGTTATCTCCCTGACGAGCGTTAATTACCACTTGGTAGCCCGGGGACGCCAGGGTCGGTCCCTGGGTCCTGCTCCTTTCTGGTCCCATTTCCCAAGGACTTGGAGACATTCATCTTTGTCGTTATGAAGGGAAAACTCTGGGGTTTTTTGTTCTACTCACACAATACTCTGTTACTCTTCTCAGTCCTCTCACTCAGTACTTCTGGCCACTAAATGTATGTGGGGTGTTCCCACGCCACACGATTCTCCCACACCAGCTGGGTGTCAGGTAATTTCAGTGTTTCATTTTTTTATTTTTGAGAGAGAGACAGAGTATGAGTGGGAGAGGGGCAGAGAGAGAGAGGGAGACACAGAATCCGAAGCAGGCTCCAGGCTCTGAGCTGTCAGCACAGAGCCTGACGTGGGGCTCGAACCCACGAACCGTGAGATCATGACCTGAGCCAAACGCTCAACTGACTGAGCCACCCAGGTACCCCTGGGTATCAGATAATTTAACTCGGTTCTGACACCCTACTTGCAGATAGTCAGATTCCATAGGTTTGGCCTCAGTCCCCCAAGACTGCCTTCCCCTCTTTCTGATGCCAGCCTCAAGTCCAAGCTGTCCCCTGCAGATGATGAGGGTAGAAGGTTCCCTCCTATAAGCCAGTGGGGAGTCTAACCTTGAAAATGATAACAGCATCAGCAGCTATTGCTTCTCAGGGATCCATCATATCCCAGTCACTAAATCAGATCCCTTATATACACTATTGTAAATCACAAAGTAAGTAAGGGGCTGTATTCAAAATGCCTAATACAGCGCCTGGTGTCTTAAGTGTTCAGTAAGTGGTAGTTGCATTTTAAAAAGAATTTTAAAAAGCTTTTAAGTAATCTCTACACCCAACGTGGGTCTCAAACTCACAAACACGAGATCAAGAGCTGTGCGTTCGGCCGACGGAGCCAGCCAGGTGCCCCAAATGGTAGTTGCATTTGACAGGAGAGAAAACTGAGTTTCAGAGATGTGAAGCAAGTAGCCCAAGGTCACAGAGTAAGTAGGCTTTGAACCAAGCCTGTCATTTTCTGTCCTGCTTTTTTGGACTGCTTCACTATAGCTTTAGAAATTAGATGTCAATCTGGGGCGCCTGGGTGGCTTAGTCGGTTAAGCGTCCGACTTTCGCTTAGGTCATGATCTCGCGGTTCGTGGGTTCAAGCCCCGCGTCGGGCTCTGTGCTGACTGACAGCTCAGAGCCTGGAGCCTGTTTCAGAGTCTGTATCTCCCTCTCTCTCTGACCCTCCCCTGCTCATACTGTCTCTCTCTCCTAGAAATAAGTAAAAATATTAAAAAAAAAAAAAAAGAAATTAGATGTCAATCTGGTAGGTAAGACATATAAGTGAGGGGCACCTGGGTGGCTCAGTCGGTTAAGCATCTGACTTTGGCTCAGGTCATGATCTCATGGTTCATGGGTTCGAGCCCCGAGTCGGGCTCTGTGCTGACAGCTCAGAGCTTGGAGCCTGTTTCAGATTCTGTGTCTCCCTCTCTCTCTGACCCTTTTCTGCTCATGCTCTCTCTCTCTCTATTTCTCAGAAATAAATAAAAAACATTAAAAAAAAGACACGTAAGTTAGCCTTTGAAAAGACTAATATAATAAAGAGACCAGGGACAAGTCCGAATCCAGAGAAATAAGAGAGCATAGATTACAACATTAGGAATGGAAAGGCATACAGCCCCAAATTGAGAAAATTGAACAAACGAACAGGACATGCTACTTGCAGTTTTACGCAAACTCATTTGAAAGAGAGGATTTTCTAGGACAACGATAAAGAAAACACCAGAAGAGGTGAAAACCATACACATACACAGAAAAGGCGTAAAAGATCGGATCCCACTCCTTTCAAAGGGAGATTCTGCTAAACCTTCAAGGACAAGTTATTCCTAAATCATTCAAACTGCTTGGAAGTATAGAAAAGAAAGTAGAAGCTTCCCAAATCATTTTACTGGGAACCTTGATGCCAGTACCCCCAAGGTGGTGCCATTAAGAGGGAAGTGTAGCGGGGTGTCTGGGGGGCTCAGTCGGTTACGTGTCCGGCTTTGGCTCAGGTCATGATCTCACGGTTCATGAGTTTGAGCCTCATGTCAGGCTCTGTGCTGACAGCTTAGAGCCTGGAGCCTGCTTTGGATTGTGTCTCCCTCTCTCTCAGCTCTTGCCCTGCTCTCTCTCTCTCTCAAATAAGTAAACTGTAAGAAATAAAAAAAAAAAAGGGCAGTGGATTTCAAGGAGAAAGTTCCAGCCTCAGATCCACGCTTCCCGCCTATGTGGCCCTGAATATGTAATCGGGCCTCTCTAAGCCTCAGTTTCTTCATCTGTAAGGTGAGAATAATAAGAGCACAGTCTTACAGGATTGCAGTGCCATCCTCACAGCCCATGTCAAGTGCTTGCAACATGTTAACTCTAATTAAGAAAATAAAATTATAAACTTGCTCCAGTCAGCTGCAACAATCTTGAAAATATGTCAGCAGCCAATGCAGGCCAAATAGTAAAACAAATCATATACCATGAGGAAGTCTAGCTTATTCTGGAAATGAAATGTCGATTCAACCTTATGCAATCTAGCGATGTGATTTATTACATCAGTAAAGCAACACCCTATATAATCATCTCGATATATGGAAGAAGCATTTGATAAGCGTGAATAGTCATTGCTAATAAAAACTCAGTGTAAGGAAACTCCCAAGCTGAGTTTTCAGAAAAAGTATGTTTCAGAGGGGGCACCTGGGTGGCTCAGTCGTCAGTTAAGCATCTGACTCTTGGTTTCAGTTCAGGTCATGATCTCACGGTTCGTGAGTCCAAGCCCTGCATCGGGCTCTGTGCTGATGGCTCGTAGCCTGCTTGGGATCCTGTCTCTCTCCCTCTGTCTCTCTGCCCCTCCCCTGCTTGCACTCGATCTCTCTCCCTCTCAAAATAAATACAATAAACATTAAAAAAAGTATATTTCAGGAAACACTGCATTTATGGTAAAGCAGCGGAGGCCTCCATGTAAAGTCAGGCACGACAAAGTAATGTGCGTCATGATCAATGTCCTGGGGTGCTCGGGTGAAGGGTCCAGTCAGGGCAGTAAAACCAGACCAAGAATTTTTTTTAATGTTTTACTTATTTCTGAGAGAGAGAGACAGCATGAGCAGGGTAGGGTTGGAGAGAGAGGGAGACACAGAATCTGAAGCAGGCTCCAGGCTCTGAGCTGACAGAGCCTGACGCAGGGCTCGAACCCACAGACCTTGAGATCATGACCTGAGCCAAAGTCGGACGCTTAACCGACTAAGCCACCCAGGCGCCCCAAGACCAAGAATTTTTAAACATCAGGGTTATTGGCCACAGTTGGTTGTATGAAGGTTCTATTGGACGGGGAAGGGGGGGCTCAGGCTGGTTGGGGGCGGGGCCCTGGGGAACCCAGGAACCTGGGGGTGGGGGTGAGCGGGCTGTGTGGTCTGATCCCTGTCACAGATGACACTCACTGTGGTTCATTGCGATGTATCCCGCTGGCTGTTGGCCACGCCGTAAAGCGTGACAGGGTGTGGAGGTGGCGTGGGGATGGCTGGCGGGGCGCCTCAGAACAGATTATCTTCAGGAGCTGAATTTTGACTTGAACCAGGTGAGGTGACAGGTGTATTCTTGGCCATATACGCAGGGGCGTGCTTATGTGGGTCTCCTAACATGTTAACATGCGGTGCTGATTTGTGCCAAGAACCCGGTCGTGCTCTTTTAGTTCACAGAGCAGGGGGCCAGGCACTGGAAGGGCCCTTTATTTTATTATTTTATAAATTTTTTAATGTTCATTTATTTTTGAGAGAGACAGAGACAGAGCACGAGCAGGGAAGGGCAGAGAGAGAGGGAGACACAGAAGCCGAAGCAGGCTCCAGGCTCCGAGCTGTCAGCACAGAGCCCACTGCGGGGCTTGAACCCCGTGAGATCATCACTTGAGCCGAAGTGGGAGGCTTAACCGACTGAGACCCCCAGGCGCCCCCGGAAGGGACCTTTAAAGATGTTCTGGTCCATCCATCCGCTTGCAGGTGCAGAAATGGTCTCCGAGTCACAGTGACAGGCAGAGGGTTACCAGCAGAGGGAGCACTAACCTCAGGCTCCCCCTCTCCCGGGTCCCACGCTCCCTGGGTGTTGGGGGTGCGGGTGCGGGTGGGGGAGGGGGAGGGGGCTCCTGCAGGTTGTCTGGAGAGGTGGCCTGAAGGGATTGCACGGGCAGCCGCCGTGGCCGGGCCACGCCCTTAGAAGCCACCCTGACTATATAGTGGCACATCCTTCACCCCTCCGGGTCCCCTCCTGACCGCCACCCCGACTTTCTCCCAGCGGCCCCTGGGCACCTACCCGGATCAGCACTTCACTGAGGAGGCCCCCCGGCGGAGCATCGCCGCCTTCCAGAGCCGCCTGGCCCAGATCTCGCGGGAGGTCCGCGAGCGGAACCAGGGCCTGGCGCTGCCGTACCCTTACCTGGACCCCCCCGTCGTGGAGAACAGCGTCTCCATTTAACCCTCCTGCTGCCCCTGGAGAAGACAGGCTCAAGCCTGAGGATGCGCGGCCGGCGGCCGGGACGAGGAGCCGCTGGCTGAGGTCAAACACACAAGAGGCCCTTCGAGAAGGGGGAGCCCCTGTCACCCTTTGGTCCCCTTGGGGCAGCCTCTTCCCTCTCCTGTGAAAACCTACCTCCTCCCACGGGGAACCCCACGGGGACACTGAGCTCTCCCCTCCCCCAGCCCCCTCTCACCTTGACTCTTTGTTTCCGCTCTCTTCCATTCCTAAGGCCAACCTATCTAACGTCCCTCTCCGGAAAAGCCTGGAAAGCGGGCAAGAAAGGATGAGTGTCCTGGGTCTGCCACGTGGTCCCCTTTGACGTCAGCATCTTTAAGGGGAGGGTTAGAATTAGGCCCAGCCTGGGGCGCCTGGGTGGCTCGGTCACTTAAGCTTCGGACTCTTGATTTTGGCTCAAGTCATGATCTCACGGTGCGTGAGTTCGAGCCCCGCAGTGCGCTCTGTGCTGGGAGACCAGAACGTGCTTGGGGTTCTCTCTCTCCCTCTTTCTCTGCACCCCCATCAAAATAAGTAAACATAGAAAAAAAGAATTAGACCCAACCCCTAGCTGTTCAGGGCTCGCTCCCTGCCCTGGGAAGGCGGTGTGGTGTCCCTCCCCAGCTCTTGTCTGCACCTCACTCTCCCACCTTCCTTCCTTTGTTTTCTGTCCTCGAGACCAGTGAATTCAATAAATCCCAACAGATTCGGCTCCCATTTCATTGTGGTTTTGGCGCGTGTGCGTGCAAGGGGCTGGGGCCGCAGGGGGCTGGAGAAGGGAGGGGCAGCAGTGAGCCCCTGGTCATCTGTTCTGGGGACAGGGAGCCCCCCAGCTCAACCCAGCGCCTAGCCAGGCCCCACATCCCTGCCGTGGCCTCCCAGAGCGTGTCATCCCTCAGGAGGCCGAGGGATATCCAGACTCAAAGGGCTGATAGGAAAAAAGTAGGTATTTTGCAAAGCCTACGAAGCCAGCTTCTGGGTGTGCCCCTGGGGTCAGGTCGCCCTTCTGGACACAGGGAAGACTCGGTCCCCAGCCCTCTGCAGTGGGTGGAGTCACGATGAGTTCCAAGCGGCAGGGGGGAGGCGGGTCACCTCCCCAATGGGCACCTGCCGTCTGGTGGAGCCCAGCAAGAGGTACCCTTGCACTGGGTCCCCCCGCTGAGATTGTGGGATTGTTTGTCACCACAGTGGAATCAAACCCGACCCGACATAGGTGGTGATCTGGGGAGTCTGAAGCTCATCGAATCAGAGACCTGTGTTGGGGCGCCTGGGGAGCCCCACCGGTCAAGCGTCTGACTCGTGGTTTTTTGCTCAGGTCATGATCTCACGGTTCGTGGGTTCGAGCCCCGTGTCAGGCTCTGTGCTGACAGCGCAGAGGCTGCTTGGGATTCTCTCTCTCTCCCTTTGTCTCTGCCCCTCCCCTGCTCTCTCTCTGCCCCTCCCCTGTTCTCTATCTCTCTCAAAATAAATAAACTTAAAAAAAATCAGAGATCTCCCTCAGGTCCGTCATCCATATCTTCTCTCTCCACGGCCCCTCCACACCTTCCCTGGACCCCGTGTCCCTTGACTTCAGGGCTAGCCTCCCTACCTCCTCTAGAGGCAAATTCTGTGTCTGACCGAACCCTGGTCACAGCCTCTCTGTGGCCAGAGTCACAGTGTCTTCGGACAGTGACAGGTAACAGTCCCTCCATCCCTACAGCGCCGGTGGCAAGGGAATCAATCACACGGACTTCCTGTCACAGTAACTGGGGGCCCATCCAGAGAGTCACCCAGGCAAGGGCTCTGCCGGGCTGCGGAGTCTCACCCCCTGCAGACAACCCCCCGCGTTCATAGCCAAGTGGGGACCCACTTGCTGCCATGGCCACCAAGTTGGAGATGCCAGAAAGGGGCTGCTGTACAAACACAGCTCCGTGGGCTCAGGACCGACGGCACCCCCTGAACTGCCAGCCCAGGGCCCCCAGGGCCACGGCTATGTCAAAACTCTGGAGCAGCCACTGACCTACAGATGCAGAGGGAAGCACTGCCCGTCCCTGTCCCCATCAGGCCCGAGAATCTTCTCCCTATTCAACCAAACCCCTTCTCCCTTCATGAGTGGGCGGGTGGAAGGGGACGAGGGTCAGGGCAGGAAAGGGATCAGGTTTTCACATCAGAGAAGAGACCTCCCCCCGCCCCCCACTATGGGCCACTGTGCACGAGGAGGTGTGTTTGGGGCTGTCTCACTGGCAGGTTCCAACCAAAGAATTTAGCCCAAATCCCCCGGTTTTGTTCACTTTAGAACAAGATCAAAAGGCTAAGAACCACCCAGAGGCAGCCCTTTGTGGCCAGGATGGTGGCCGAGGCTGGACGCTCGGGCGTCCTTAAACTTGGGCTTTGACTTTGAACAGCAGGATGCGGCGTCAGAGCACACTCAGGCTCTCGGTTCCGGCTCAGGTCATGATCTCACGGTTCGTGAGTTCGAGCCCTGCGTCGGGCTCTGTGCTGACCGTGAGGCACCTGCTTGGGATTCTCCTGCTCTCTCTCTCTCTCTCTCTCTCTCTCTCTGCCCTTCCCCTGCTCATGCTGTCTGGGCAGCCTGTCCCTCCAGAAAGCCAGACACTCCTTGGTGGCGACCAAAGTGAGCATCGGAAAGCATGCCCGTACTAAAAATGCCCCCCGAGCCGGAGAGGGAGGGACGGAGGTGGGTCACTGGAATCTGGTTCCCAGAAAGCCAGCTCGGAGGAAAAGTTTCTGGGGAGAGACACCCAGCTGCACGTAGGATTCTGCCCGGGCTCTGGGAACGTCTGGGGACAGGATGTGGGGAAGAGGCTGGCGGCCATCAGCCGGGGGCTTCCTCCAGCCTACACGCTGGACCCCTGTATGGCCTGGAAGGCGACCCACATCGTGGGGAGCACCCAGCCTCTCTCTCTTCCCAGCTGGCCTTGAGCAAGTGCGTCAGCCTCAGTGGCCCAAACGTCTCAGATAAACGGGCCAGACAAGAAGACCTGGAAAGTCCCTTCCAGGGTTGACGTTCCAGGATCCGCTTCCCTCACGGCCGCCGTGTCCCCAGACACAGTCATCGGGAAGCAGCAAACGATCCTTCGGGTGGTTTCGGGCAGGGCTGGGAGAGGAACCCCGATGTGTCAGCATGACTGGGGACCGGGGGGGGGGGGGCTTCGTGGGGGAGCACGGAGCCCGGAGAGGTGGTGCGAGCCAGGATGGGAAGGTGCCAGGCCCCTTCAGGGCATGTGTTTGAGGACTGGAGACAAAGCCAAAGTGGCTGAGATAAGGTGACAAGGGGTGGGCGCAAGATGGTCCCGCCCAGTGCCCAAGCCCACAGGAAGTCCTCGGGTTCGATTCTAAGGGCACTACCGTCTTATGCTCTGGCGAGTTTTAAGCAGGGAAGTGACCCCATTTGGTTTTTTTTTCCTTCTGTGTCCTGGGGGGTGGGGCCCCAAGGCTCGCTCCCTGCCTTGCAGGGCTGGGGCGGGGTGAGCAGAGGGGCCCCCAGCAGCGAGGACTCAGCTTCCTGTGTGGGTGGCCGTTGCGAGCCGAGCCAGCGAGCTCGCATCCCTCCCAGGTGCCTCCCCTGCTCTCTGGTCCAGCCCTGGCCCAGGAGAACCAGTTCGGCAGCCGGGCGAGCATCTACCCAGCGTCACGCATCCATGTTTCGGCCCGGCCGCGTTCTCACGCCTGTCCCGTCCGTGTCCCCAGCCACGCTCGCATCCCCTCCGCCCTCATCTGCGTCTGTTTCCCTCAGAGATCTAATTCCCCACTCGAGACTCTGGCCCCGATCAAACGCAGAGGCGCCGCTCCTGCGTGTTTTGGGGGGGACAGGGGGCTCGGCTGAGCGGAAATTGGAGGAGGCAGCTTCGGGGGCCGCCGTTTGTGATGACCCCCAGACACTGCTCCCCGCGACAGCTCCCTGCCCTGGTCCCGCTCCCCACACCCCACTCTCTCTGCCGCTGGATTCGGAGGTTAAGGCGGGTCTCTCACCGCTGCGGCCCTGGACTCTGCCCCAGGGGGGCCTGGAAAAGCCACCGTGGAAACCCCTGATTCCCGCAAGCTGCCCCGCCCCGCCTGCTCTTCACCCAGATTAGCCGCCCCCTGGGGGCACAGTCTCGAGGAAAGAGGTGCGGCTGCAGGGTGGGAGGCTGGGAGAGCGCATGGAATTTGCATCTTAGGATACAAATTGGCACCATCAGGATCCTCCCGCCCCCCCCCCCACCCAGGAGTCATCTGGGTGGCAGAGCGGAGCCCAGAAGGGCAGGCCTGACCTGCCTGACAGCTCCTGTCCTCGGCCCAGGGCAGCCCTGTGCCCAGGCAGAGGAGCCAGCACTGCCAGCCACTCAGCACAGGCGCGACTGCCGCCAGCCTTCTCCCCGTTCCTGCCCCCATCCCCTTACCCTGTTCCTCTCCCCGCCTCCCCCCTCCCCTCCCCGCCATGCCTCACGCTAACCCCAGTCCAGCTCTCCTCTCTGAGTCTTACCAATTCCTGTCCCACCACGGATGCGCTTCCCAGCCCTCACCTTGTCATCACCAGCCCATCGAACTATTAAGAATCATGTGTCAGGGCGCCTGGGTGGCTCAGTGGGTTGAGCATCTGACTCTTGGTTTCGGCTCAGGTCACGATCTCACGGCTTGTGAGTCTAAGCCCCACGTCGGGCTCTGTGCTGACAGCATGGAGCCTGCTTGAGATTCTGTGTCCTTCTCTCTCTGCCCCTCCCCTGCTTGCTCTCTATCTCTCTCAAAAATAAATAAACATTAAAAAAATAAAAAGAATCATGTTTCAAGAGTCACCCAGGTGCCAGGTACTGTGCCAGGAGATGGGGAGAAAGTCCATGTAAATGACAATCTAATCTAGGGGAAGATGGGCATCAATCAAAGATGTTAGCTATGGTACCCTGAGAGCCATTAATAGTTACATTTAGCCTTCCCTGATGAAGCAATGATCACGTTAAGATCAGAAGGGAGAGGAAACTTAACCA